AAAATGCCACAAATCTATAGTAAAGACTCTTTCGATAGATTTGGTGACGATTTGTGCGAAGAGTTGTTGTCTTTTCTCACATTTGAAGACCGATTCCGTTGTGAATGTCTATCAAAACAGACAAAGAGATTGATATATAAGAGACAACTTGTGTTAACATTTAATATTGATAAGTGCTTACAAAACAATAATTTGAGTATAATTGAGAAAATACTTATCAAATGCCCAAACATTAAACGTATTTGTCATTATAGATTTAATAGATTTAATAGTACTAAATGTTATAGTTATGCAATATATAACGATTCTGTGATTGATTTGCTTACAAAACATTGCAATCATTTGACAGATATTTCTCTATCATTGGCAACAAATCGTTTAACAATTTCTGTCCAAACAATTGAGAGATTTTTCGCAAAGTTTGCAAAACAATTGAAAACTATATCATTGTGTGGTTTACATTACATTTCACCAAATTATCAAATGAAAGATGTGTTTAAATGGCTTGAAATGTGTGTAAATCTGACTGGAATTACAATTTCTGATCAATTGTCTCAAATCAAGTCAGTATTGAGTGATGAAAATGGTTTACGTTATAAACGACTCAATTCACTTAGTTTTCACATAAATTTCATAAATGCTTGTGTATTGAATGCATTTGATTTAATTGTTCACAATTACGGCCACAATATTAAGTCAATTGAAGTCACATTTACTGATAGAATTTTTAATAACCAGAATTTGGTTAATAAATTAACGGATGGTTTGTCACAAATGTCGGCATTAATTCATCTCAAGTTAAATATGGGCGGTTGTCTCCCATACCAGCTATTATTGTCACAAATTGGTCTCAAATGTCCGCAACTCAAGAGTCTCACGATTAGTGCCCCTCACGATGAGTCCATTTCCCAACAATTTGTCACAACTATTAATGAATGCTTTAAACAATTGAAGCGATTGAAAATCAACGGAGATTTTCCTATCAAAATAACTATCAACTCATTTAAATCAATGAAACGATTAACTCATTTGACTATAAATTATGAACGAATTTGTGGCAAAGAGTTGATAAACGGGACCGAAATGTTTGCTAATATTGACCACATTTTACCACAACTTCTGGATTTGAGACTCAATGGAGTGATAATAACGGATGAAGTGTTGAATGCATTGTCAAGACTGACACAAATCCGTTGCATTCAACTCATGGGCACTAATAATACCACACAAATGGCCGCAAATTATTTTATCACAAATCGTCCCAAAATTAAACTTAAATGGGATTTAAAACTAACACAAAATGTGTTTATCGTACTCAACCCCTATGAATTATTATTGCGTTTAATTGACTAAAATATTTGTTTATTACATTATATTTTGTGCCAAACGTAACTTTTCTAAAAAATTGCTTTTTATATATTATTTGCTTTAGTCTCAACATTTATAGAATTGTATTAATTTTACATTTTTTTAAAATTATTAATATTGTATTAATATAAATTTTAAAGTTTATATTTTTAACCAATAAATAAATTTCATTCTATATTTAATCATAAATTGAGTATTTATATTAACTCTTGGTAAACAGAAATAAACAAAAATAGCTTTTATTGACCAAAATAATTATAAATACATAATTATTTTAAACTAATATCAAAACAAAAATAAAATTCAATATAAAATGACACAAATTATTGAATGATGTGGTCGGCGATGGTCTGTATATATTAGCGGACAATCGCCACTATCTCATCGATGGTCAGTGTCTGGAGTTGTTTCAGCTCCAGAGACACTGAGAACCGGTCCTCCAGAGCCTGTTTGACGGTCACAACCATTAGTGAATCCATTCCCAGATCCGGCAGTTTAGACGAGGCGTTCATTTTTGACACATCCTTAACACCTGTACCACAAATATCATCGCAAAATGTGGTCAAAACATGCAATAGAACAAAAACAAACAAAACATTACCTAAAATAGCGGCGATAACCGACACGACATCCCTATCATCACCGGCCGGTGCCGTACCAACTAATCCCTGGCCATCGGCGGCGGTTTCCATTGGCTCCGGGCGTCTCAACTCAACGCTGAGTACTGTCTCATCGGTGACGCGCAAGAAGTGATTCAATACGTCCAGACACGAGCGGATTCGTTTGAGATCGTCGGCCACCGACCACTGTATGGCCAGAGCGGGCAAACTGTCCGCACGTCGCCGTTCGCAGAGCCTCTCGGAACTGATTTCTCTGTCGGCCGCCAAAAAGGCCATAAAATACCGCAATTGTGGACACAATTCGCGGGACACGGAGTCCATGTGTTGGACAGTGGCGTCGGTTTTAGACTCCGGATTCGGCAAACAAAATATGCCGCCGACGGGCGCCCGAACGGTTGCATCGGCCACCAGTTGCCGACACTCGGCCTCAATCGCGGGGTTCAACCCACTCACCACTATCTGCGCGCCGATTGACTCCATACGTCTGAGACAATAGGCCTGATAACTGGTCTTACCATCGGTTCCGGTGGTGAGCGCCAGATGTTTGGCGCCCCTATAGACCAGCCATTGGACGAATTCCAGGCCAAAGCCCCGCAAACCTCCCACCACTACATATGAACGGTTGGCCGCGAATGTGGTATAGTGTAGGGCCGGCACAGGTGTTGTCAAACTGTCCACGTTTTCCGCGTCACTCACTTTAATGACCACATTTCCGTTGTGCCCACAACTGGTCAGCCGTTGAAACGCGGCGTTAATGGCCGCCAATGGGAACACTTCGGTGTTGCCGAAAGGGTGGACAACATTGCCGGCGATTCCGTCCCGTATTAGACCGAAAACACGGCGTTTTGTCGACTCGTCCGGTGTTTTGCCGAATAGTTGGTCAAAGTTTACTCGAATTATACTGACATTCTTACGGCTCGTTATCAACGCTATCAACAAATGGATCAATTAATTAGTAATTGAAAAACATATTGTAATTGGTTTTCCCCCAAACAGTACTGACCATTGTTTACGGTCCGGTCGCCGCCGCCGGTCACCGATATGTACGTCCCGTTTGGTCGCAAACAATTCAAACTTAATTCAACGCTAGAAGTATTGGCGTAATTGAAGACAATGTCCACTCCCTGTCCACCGGACATCCAGTCGATGGCACTCGTATTGTCACACTCTTCGGATACGACAATCACTTTTGACGGATCCATACGCGCAAAGTTTGCCACAAGACTCTGTTTGTCGGCAATACTGTCGACAGTTGTGTAGACGTCGGCGCCGATGGACAGGCATATGGCCAGCGCTGCTCTGCCCACATATCCCGAGCCGTATTGGATTACTACAGTCTGTTCGCTGTCGAGCCGGGCGTTCACCACGAGTGCCAAGTAGGCCAAGCCGTAGGGCACGGGTACAGCGCACGCCCCGGCCAGTGGCCAGTCGTCGGGAATTGGGATCAAGTCGTCGATGGAGTTGACGGCCACCGAAGTGGACAGAGAGGCGTCCGCTTTGCAGCCGATATACCGGTGGCCGCAGTCGTCAACGCCGGCAAACTGTGAGCACAGACCCGACGGGTGTCTCGAGCGGACACTCGGCCGTGAAGTACGACCGGCGCCGGGCTTTAGGTCGTGGGCCGTGAGTCCCGCGTAACACACCTTAATTATAATTGCGTTGTTATTGTTATTATCGTTATTATTAACTTCTTGTTGTGGCCACGAGTTGTGTATTGCTTCCACCCATTTGACAGTCAGCGACTTGTCTGTGAGTTTGGGCGCCAATACCATCGCGTGTTTGGCCGGACTTGTGGTCAGTCTATCCGTGTTTAGACTCAGCCGCCTATAGGAACCCCAGCCCTCGCTGTCAGACCTCTTGATGTTCATCACGAGTTGATTGTCATAAACGGATTCATTGGCTGAAGGAGTTGTCTCATTGCAAAAATAGCTGATCCGATTACCACCTGTTTCTTTGCGCAAATCATTTACAACACCGATAATGCCATTCGTTGGGTGGTTACACATGAGCCAAATTAAACTCTTGGGATCAGTTGTGCGGTGATCGCAGTTGTTGTCTCTCAACTCGGCTTTCAATTCCTCAAACCATTGGTCGTCCGCCGAGTCGTTGATGGCTATAATCTTGTGGTTTAAACCGATAATTGTCTCCACTTTTCGCCACAGAAGAACCGATGAACAGGTCTTCGGGTAAGTCCTATGGCTAACGAGTGTCAGACCGCTGGCCGTTGCGGTCGATATCAACGGTAGGCTGTCTTTGGGCTGATATTTGACACCAAATTTTTGAAACAAAGACTTTTCCGGAAGTGTGTAATCGTTTCGCCAGAAAAACAATACAAATCCATTCGCAGCGATGTTTGATTGGATGTAATCAAACACTCTGTGATAATCAATGTCCACCCGATTGTCTTGTAATGGATAGTCATCGCGGACTACAATCAGATCCAAGTGTTTACTCTTTGAGGCAATTGTCTCGTCGGACCAATTGATGGTCACTTTATTGTACGGCTTTGTGTCTGAAATAATGAACATTATCTTAAAGTCTGATTATTATTAAATTATTATCTGATCCATACCTTCAGTGTTGTCATCATTTGCCGGATTATACACTGAATAATCGACATTCAAATCGCCGAACGGATTATTGGTAAGATAATCCATGACTGGCTTATGGCAAACCTCTTCGCCGAAGTTAATCTCCAAGACTTTAAACACTTGTTTCCCAAATGAGTGATTGTTTTCCAGTATTAAATCAATCGCTGGTCTCAACAGATATTCACTCAAATAAATGTTATTCAACAGATCTGATGACAACTTCTTGTGGTCATCGACACCATCAATGATCATCTGTTTTGCCACAAGAATATCATCGGATAACTCATTGATGGCCAACAGATCACGCAATCTATCCATCGCTGCGGTTGTATCGGCACTCGTATTGACCACATTATTGAGATAATCTGCATACGAGTCCACCAACAGATCCAAATTGACATCGATTGCGGCCATTGGCTGAAAATAGGGGACAAACACACACTTCCCGAGCGATAACTCCTCTGACAGGTGTCCACTACTGGGGGCTCGAGTCAGACCCAAACCATATATCTCTAAACCATTAGTGAAAATACAGTCACCCGATGTGTAAACCTGTCGCACAACTTGACCATCGGGTTGGGTGTCCTTAAACAGCACTCGGGGGTCGCAGTGGACACTCCCGATATGGGTCGGTAGCATCAGATCCCGGTTCGTATTATTGATTACTAATGTCTGAAGCATTGCGTCCGCAAATGTGACCCAATTATGGCCACTCATCTCAATGTCGGCCCAATTTGTGGCCAAATCAACGGCGACTGTGCGCTGAAACGCCGGCCCGTATTCATAGCCCCTGATGTGCAGCTCTCGATAGACACCGGACTTGTCTAACAGCAGATGACAATCGTCAGCACCGGCTGCCGGTCTGGCCCTCAACCGGTGTCTTGAGGGCAAAAAGTGGCCACTAGTCAGCCCTTCTTCATCGTCGAGCGTATAAACACCGCCCGAAACGGTCAGCCGATTGTCCCGATCGTAGAGCCGAAACTCGTGGCCCACTTTCGCCGATTGGATCAGTTTCAGTGACAACCCTTTGTCTTCGGCGATGAACGTCGGCCGATGGAAACGCAAGTTTTCAAACACCACCGGCAACTCCTCGACGGGCACTGACCGCTGTCGAGCCAACTCACGCCACACGGCATAGAGATAGCCGGTGGCCGGGAATAGTGCTCTACCATTGATCGCGTGGTCTAAATAGTATCGATTGTCGGCGTGTTTGAAGTCTACCTCGAGTTTACAGTCGCCGCCACCGGAGCCGTGATTAAAGTAATCCGGATATAAGGGCACTAAATAGCTGTCGGTGTGGTCCCACCGGACCAACGAACTCAACGATTGAGTGCCCCGACGGACCGGGTAGGGGACGGACGGGTACAGGCGCTGAACCCGAGGCGACAGACCGGCGGCGAACAACTCGCCGATACCCTGCAAAAAGTGTCGGACACTGTCCGGTGAGTTGCGTTTCATGAGCCCTATATAGCGGGCGCCGGGCAGCGAGTGTTTCACTATATTCCGGAACAGGGAGTCCGGGGCTAACTCCACGATTACCGACCCGTCGGGCACCCGATCGAGCGCCTCCTTGAACAGCACCGGTCGCAGCAAATTGTTTACAAAATACTCGGCCGACACACAGCCGTCGTCCATATCGTCGGCCCCGATGGAAGTGCTGATCCATTTCGGTGACCGGGGTTTACGGTCGGGCATAACGGCCCGGTATGTGGCGAGCAGTTGACCGCTGACCGGCCCGACGAGCGGGCAGTGAAACGATTTGCCGCACGAGTGGACGGGACGGACGAACACACCCTCCGCTTGAAGAGCGGCCACAAAGTCGGCGACCGGTGCGGCGGTGCCGGCGATCGTCACCGATTGGGCCGAGTTATGACACGCCGGCCATACGCCGGGCGGACACCGGGCGGCCACTTCAGCCCATGTCAAGCCCACGGCTGCCATCAAGCCGTCGGGCAGCGACTCCTCGTTGCGACGGTAACAGAGTATGAGAAACTGGTGGCGAGTGATGGCGCCGTCGATGTAGGCGCAGGTCATCTCACCGGCCGAGTGGCCAAAATAGCCGTCCGGTTCGACGCCCAACTCGCGGACCAAATCGACGAGCGCTATCTGCACGGCCGCGATGGCCACCGACGAGTTCTTATTCTTCCCGAACAGTATCTGGTCGTCCGAACCGCACACCAGTGCCATCAGGTCTACCCCTTCCCCGGCCATAATGGCCGCCGACTCCTCTATCGAGCGCCGGAATATACTGATGCACATCATCTGTTGAGCCATACCTGTCCATTGGGTTCGTCCGAACCGCACACCAGTGCCATCAGGTCTACCCCTTCCCCGGCCATAATGGCCGCCGACTCCTCTATCGAGCGCCGGAATATACTGATGCACATCATCTGTTGAGCCATACCTGTCCATTGGGTGCCCATTCCTGTCCACTCCCCCGAAGTATATTAGTTTAGTGTATAATTTTTTAAAGCATTTTAAACACTAGTGTATAAATCGTGCTTAAGATAGTGTGACATAAAGTGGTATTTAATAATTTTGTTAGTTATACTAATAAAAACATCGAAACTTTTGTGGGCACACTATCTTTAAGCTGAAGGTTAACTCTAGTGTTCAAAACAGTTATAAAAATTATAGTTTAATGTAATAATTAGGTTAACAACTAATTAAAAACCAAGATTAAATACCGGAACACATGAACCAGAGTTTGGGTTTGGCGGTCACTTTGGCTACCGATCGGTCCGACAGTGCAAACCCGTTGTCGTCGGTCACGTCTCTAATGGCAAACCCGCGCCAATCCATGCCATCGCCGGCACCGGAATCCACGACCACTGCGTTGAGTAGTGCGAGAAAGTCATCGCCGGCCCGACCGTCGGCGCTGTGGTCGGCAACGAAGTCAAGCACATCGTCTACAGCCTGTTCTGTGCGACCGGTGGCCACAATCAGGCGCGGAATCGGCACATCATTAGCCACACAGTCAGCACTGGTCGTCACCACTCGGGCGCCAGTGTTTGGTCGCAACAGTATGTGAACATTAGTGCCGCCAAAACCAAAACTACTGACGCCTATCGCGCAGTCGGCGAGCGCTGTATTGACGGTCACCGGGCGTACGGAGCCGTCCATTAGCGCCGGTATAGTCTCTTTGGGTGACTGGAGGTGCAAACTCGCGGCCACTCGTCCGGCTTCCATAGCCAACACTACTTTGGCCAGTGAGCACATGCCGGCCGAGGGCTCGGTATGGCCCAGATTGGTCTTAACGCTGCCCACCAGAAGTGGCGCATCCCTGTTAACACCGCGGCAATAGGCCTCGTAAATAGCCTCGACCTCGTTCTGGTCGCCCACTGCCGTACCGGTGCCGTGAGCCTCGATATAGCCCACCCATTGCGGCTGAACCCCGGCCTCCCGGAGCGTCGCCCGAATCAAACTGAGTTGCGCTGAGGGCGAGGGATAGGTAATGCCCTGCAGTTTATAGCCATCCGAGTTGCACAGGGCGTGTATGACAGTGGCGTACACACGTCGGGCCCCCTTCCGGCGCTGCAACACCAGGGCTGAGACAGTCTCGCCGCGAACGTAGCCGTCGGCCGCGGTGTCCATGAATTTGCACCGGCCATCCGGCGCCAGCAGACCCGACCGATGCAACTCTAGCGAAGTCAACGGCTTAAGGCATACGTTAGCGCCGGCCACTATAGCTCGCGAGTAGCGGCCGACTCGCAGGCCGTCGGTGGCCAACTGCAAGGCTGTGGCCGCCGACGAACAGGCCGTCTGTACGGCCAGACTCGGCCCGTGTAAGTCAAATATTAGCGACACCCAATTGGCAGTCATGTTAGCTTTGTTGCCCAAACACGCGTACCGATTGACCATGGTCGGGTCGCTGGTGTGCGCATCTTGGCACTCGTCCCATAGAGTGCCCACGAATACGGCCGTATCGGTGCCCTTCAATGTGTTGGGATTATAACCTTGGTGATATAAATGCAAACGTAATTAATTACAATTGTAATAAAGTACATGAGTTGCAAAAAATACCAGTAAAGGTACAATGATTAGTACCTTGAATATAAAATTACAATACAACCTATGCTTATAATGACGTTCATTAATAGCCTATGGGTCTAAATAACGGGGGTTTTACTGTACAGTATAGACAGTATGAGTGGAAACAGACAATACCTGAATCGACGATAGCCTCGTAGACCACTTCGAGCAGTAGTCGGAGCCGCGGATCCAAACCGTCGGCCTGTTTGCCGCTGACGCCGAAGAACTGGGCGTCAAATTTGTCGATGTGTTTGATTTTGCCGAACCTCTGGGGCTCACCGTATAGGCCGGGCGGCCACCGGCGCTCGTCCGCAGTAATCAGGTCTCGATTGGCGTACAGATTGTCCGCCAACTCGTCCATTGTGTCCGACTCCGGGAAACGGCCGGACATTCCGCTAATCACCACATCTGAGTCCGTGTCCGCGAAGAGTTGGCTCAAATTCATGGCTGACTTTTTGATAGTAAAAACACGTTTGACTACTTGTTACTAATTAACTAAATGTTGAACAAGTTATAATTATTGTAGTTATTAAACTGTAATTAACGGGAATTATATTAATATTAAACACTATTGTAAATTGTAGTTATGATTAATGATTAAAATCTAGTTAATTATTATTAAATATATAAATGAAAGGCATTACTGTATTATAATTTAATAAGCACGTGAATACGTTTCTCAAATCGTCCAATATGTTTTTAAAACATATAAAAACATGTTATTGAAAACAAGGTATTACGATTTAATTAATTTATATAAATTAATTCTAAGTTGCATATTATTGATACCCTTATGAAATAATTTATAAACGTAATTAACAGCTAATCCGGTAGTAAGTAAAATAAACTAAATTACAATTAGACTATGGATTACTTGTGAAACAGTGTGTTGTCCACCAGTGTTGTCCATTCGGCACCTGACCTGATGGTCAGTCCATATAACTTGTCGTCCGGTGTCTTAAAATTTGATTATGTTTTTCACTTTAAATCATTTAAATACAGAAAACTATTTATTTTAAAAACTTAGCCAGATACTATTTATTTATAATTGCATTAAACCGAGTGTGGTTGCTGTTAAATACACTCTGTTAATTAACACATGTTTAATAGTTTAATCAACGTGAATTCATTTAATGAATTATGAATTAATGAATTATGTAATTATATATATAATAA